TCTGCTAACCCAGAACTGAAATCATTCCCGAAGCCCACTTTTCAGACAAAGATTAGGCAGGACTATAAAACAAAATAACAAGACCAAATAGGCAACTCCTGTCCAAAAGCAAGACAGGAAGGCAGAAGGTACAATAACTGGATGAATAGGCACAGGGAGCCCAGCCAGGGTGGAAAGGGAGAGCATGCTGTCACATTATGGGGGTTGCAACCAATGTCACAAAACAATATGTGTATAAATTTTTGAATGAGAAATTCCTTGAGTTGTAAACTTTCACCTAAGGCACAGTTAAAAAAATAAAAGGTATTTAGTTGACACTTACGGAGTTGTGCAGGGATTGGGGGTGAGCAATGCTAGTTTTTACTCTCCTTTACAAGTGGTTCAGTATGGCTAGAGCAGTAGGTGTGAGGGGAAGCAATGATTGAGTGGTGAGACTAGAAAAATTGTCAGCATCCAGGTTTCATATGGCATGGTGGCATTGGGTGTTACCAATGACCATGCCAAGAGTGGCTGACAGGTGGGGACAGTGTTAGCGCCCTAATTTTTCAGGCTTCTCCAAGCATGCAGCTGTTTCTGTGTAAATGTAGCTTCTACATTTAACACCACTTCCAAATGGATTGCGCTTTCTAAATGCTTTATTTACAAGGAAATTGTGGAGCTTCCCGTATAACTTTAAGTATATGAGCTAACAGTGGAGGCAAAATAATAAGCTCCAACTAGTGCCATGGACCGTGTAGTTTTGATTCACTAATGGGCGTTATCTGGGAAAAGCTTGGTGTCAGAAGGGAAATCTGATGTTTTTAAAATAATTTATTATGTTGTTGAGCATATATTCAGGAGAACATACACCAATTCAACAATTTTTACATGTACGATTACATTCTTCGCATTGTGCAACCGTCCTCGTCCTCCTTTTCCGAGTTGTTATCCCCCATTAACATAAATTCACTGTCCCTTAAGGTTCCTGTCTAATCTTTGAAGTTGCTGTTGTCAGTTTGATCCCATACACATAGATCTTGTAAGAGCACAATGCTCAAGGCAGATGTTCAGTGAAGCTAAACTATTGTTTGGTTTTAAGAAGAGTTTAGGGGATATTTGTTCTTGTTGTTGAATACTCTGTTTTATGTGAAAGTTTACACAGCAAATTAGATTCCCATTCAATAATTCATACACAGTTTGTTCTGTGACATTGGTTACAATCCCCGTAGTGTCAGCACGCTCATTGTTTCCTGTGTCCACCCATCCAGTTTCCCTGCCCCACCTTGCCTTCTCGTCTTTGTTTTTGTGTAACTGTTGACCAATTGGTCTTCTGTAGTTGGTGGTTTAAAGGAGCAAATTCCTCATCGGTGTTTATTTTATAGGCCAATGTATTATTCGGCTGAGAGGTGACCTCTGGGAGTGGCTTCGTTTTTAGGTTAAAAGGGTATTTTAGGGGGAAGTCTCTGGGATCCCTCTAGTCTCTATCAGTCCATAAAGGGTGGGGTTTTTTTTTTTTTTTTTTATGAATTTGAGTTTTGTTCCACGTTTTTTCTCCCATTCTAACCAGGACCTTCTACTGTGTCGTTGGTCAGAACAGTTGGTAGTGGTAGCCGGGAACCATCTAGTTCTGGTCTCAGGCTAGAAGAGGCTGTGGTTTGTGTTGTCCATTAATCCTGTGGACTAATTTCTTCCTTGAGCTTTTGATTTCCTTCACTCTCCTTTGCTGTAGATGGGAAGAGACCAAATAGATGTAGTCTACATGGCCGCTTGCAAACATTTAAGATCTCAGATGCTATTCACCAAGCTAGGATGTAGAACATTATCTTTATGAGCTAAGTTATGCCAGTTGGCCACACATTGCATTTCCTCCTGTTTCTGACTCCTCCTTCCTCTGTTGCTTCAGGGAAATACAAGTTTTGGGTGAGGCTTTAGCATTTGTCAAGTGTTGCTTTCATAGCTGGCATTTGATAGTTTCATGACCCTACGGGAGAAGGAACAGATAAGAGGATAAAAACCAAACCGATTCCCGTCGAGTGGATTTGACTCATAGTTACCCTATAGGACAGAGTAGAACTGCCCCATTGGGTTTGCAAGGAGCAGCTGGTGGATTCGAACTGCCAACCTTTTGATTAGCAGCTGAGCTCTTAACCAGTGTGCCACCAATAAGAGGATAGCAAAGGCTAAAAGATGTTTGAGATTTTGCCTGAGATGATCTAGGATTGGAACTCAAGCCATGGATGCCACGGCCTGCACTTTTTAACTATGCCACCCAGCCTTACTCTTTCTTTTCTCTTGCCTGGTGACCACTTTATGAGTAAGTAAGTAGATTAAGGTGTAGATTAAGTGACAGGATACTCTGCAAAGGGTTATGGAATCTAATTATAATGAAACCTTTAGGTTCTTGAGTCACTTTTTATGGGGATATCTAAATGATATTTTTGGGCATTGTGTAACAGAGATAAGATTTATTTATTGAATGTCTAAAGTTTTGGACCTTTGTAGTAAAATAGAACATGGCCTTTTGAGTTAGGCTTGGGTTGGAATCCCTGGGTCTCCATGGCTCACACACTTTCTAGTTTTGTCATTGGCCAGGTTACTTAAAACATCTCAGTTTTCTTATCCTTAAGATGAAATGGGGATAATAATGCCTAATAGAGTTGTTATGGGGAATATGCAAAATAATGCACATAAAGTACTTAGCATAATGCCTGGTACCTATTAGGTTATCAGACAATTAATAAATGGTTTTCCTTATTTTCTTCCCCTTCCCCAGGTAGAGCCCTCGATCTCCTCCCCCCCACCCCCCGTTAATTTTTTTCTTCTGGCTTCATCCTAACTGAAAGTCCCCTATACTGTAATGTGCTTACTATAGATCACGAGGAATTTTCTGCATTGATCCCAGTTTCCACTGTACTGCCCCATTCATCCTGTAGTCCTGTTTGTCAAGTGATATGACCTCATTTCCAGAGTAGAAGATACGGTGACTGTAAACGTGAAACCTTCTTTACCCTTTAAGGCTTCACACCATGTGTCTTTATTTCTTGGTTGCTGAGCTGGAGGACCTTTCCATTAAGTTAATGTTACTCTAAGGTCTGTGTTCCCCCATGACCTTCCCTTTCTCTGCTTTGCCTCCCTCCCTAAGTGAAAAGAGTTTTCAAGCAAGAGTTGAGTGAGCTGCCCACATCTTTTGTTGCAGCGTCCATTGACTTTAGGTCTTTTCACTTTATTCCTACCAGCACATCCCTTGCCCTAGACGAGGGGTTGTGTTCTCACTGTGAGTGAAGGAGGTATTGCCTTCTTTGTCCCCAAGATTGGTACTCTCTCATCCCTCAAAACTTCTTTTGTTTCCATGGGCCCTTCAGTCACACAGCCTGGCTTTATCCAGCTTTGTCTCCTCCAAGCCTCCTCCATGGAGGAATAATCCATAACTGGACTTGTCACAGTAATGAGCACATCAGTAGTAAATCTTAGCTGTTGTTATTTCTATGATCATATTTTCTAAATAACAAAAATTGGGCAATTGGATGGTCTGAAAACAAACAAAAACAACCCTAAATTTCTGCATTATGCGATTTTTGCATAACGACCTGGTCTTTGGAACCTGCCTAACCATGTTGATGAGTGAGGAGTGGGTGTGTTTGTAGAAAGCAAACATTAACAGATTTCCAAAGGAGAACCACTTACCCTTACCCAAATTAACGCACATCCATTCTTACGACACCGAACAGGCATGCCGTGGTTCAGGTCAGATGTTGTATTTACCTTACTGCTGTCTCCGGCTACCATCACGTTGCTCGGGGACCTGCAGAGCTCCAGAGGCTTCTGCTCTGCCGCTAGCCTTTGCTGAGCCTCGCTGCGGCTAGAAGGCCCTTGCACCGGATCTCCCGAGCCTCTGCCACTGGGTCCTTCTAAGCCTCTGCTGCAGGCTCCTGCCGTGCTACCTGGGCTCTGCTGCCTAAGTGGGGGAGGTGTGCAACCCCTGCACTCAGGCCTCTCTTGTCCTGCATAAGCAAGTGTTATAGTTCTCTTAACTCTGCTGGCAAGCCTCCTGCCTAGAGGTGTTAGGCCCTATTGTAGGAAGACCCTTGCACTGGATCTTCCAAGGCAGCCCCTGCAAGGTGCATGCTCATCCTGTGCCCTGCATGGGCAAGCGTCACAGCTCTTTCAGCTCTGCAGGCAAGCCTCCTGCCTGAAGGTGCTCAGCTCTTACTCTGTGTGTTGTCCCTCAGTGTCTTCAACATTCTATCTGTCTTCTGGGTCTAGGAGATTTTCACCTTAGGGACCATGGGTCCTTGGTCCAAAGGACATGACCTGCTCCAGACTCCTTTTCTTGACGGTAGGGAGGGCCCCTTCAGCCTCTGATTAACCCTTTTAAACCTAGCAGAATGGCAACACCCACCAGTCCCCTTGATAAGCCACAGTAACTATATTTGCATAGTCATAGTAAACTGTCCAATCCCTACAAGGATTTTACACACATTATTTACATAATCCCAGCCGGTCATTTTGTGGGAGTTACAGGACTATGGCTAGAAGGTCCATGTAAAATCAATTCACTGCCCTGCAGAGGTTTAGATATAATCTGCCTACCTAGGTTGCTGTTCCCTGACGGGTGTTTGGAATGAGGAAGGGGCCGGGATGTGTGGAGGCCAACAGCAGCCCTTACTGAATTATTTGAATCAAGTTCTTAACTGAACATTCACGTTAGAATCGAGAGTACCTTTTTTGTTTATTTTTCATGTGATGTATACTGGGTCTGGGGCTCACTGCACAAGACTCCAAGGCAGGACCTTTGTATTGGGGTTTCTGAGTATATATTTTTTAAGTTTCCTAGATGAGTCTAATTTGCACCTATTTTTGAGAACCACTGATAGTTAATTGCAACCAAATTGCATTCTTGTCTGTGTAACTATGCCTTGGTTTTGTTTTATTCTGTTTTTGTTTGTTTTGCTTTTATTTTGAGGGAGGAATGATACTCAACAGATTCTTAAATCTTTTTAAACCATTTTTTAAAAATTTAGTCATTCAGCCTCTGAAGAAGCATCGGGTTCAGAGTCAGGCAGCCAGTCGGAAAGTGAGCAAGGCAGTGATCCCGGAAGCGGACATGGCAGCGAGTCGAATAGCAGTTCTGAGTCTTCAGAGAGTCTGTCGGAATCTGAGAGTGAGTCGGCAGGTTCCAAATCCCAGCCAGTCCTTCCAGAAGCTAAAGAGAAGCCAGCCTCTAAGAAGGAACGGATAGCTGATGTGAAGAAGGTATCTACTCTGCTGTATAGAATGAATGTACTCTGTGTGTGCTGGGACCAGCCAGCAGACCTGTATTTCCCATGGAAAACTCATACAGTGAAAACAGTAACCACCTTTTCTAGTAACATACTGTTTATGGATATAAATAGAGGTTATTTTCTGCTCCACTAATTGATATAGTTAATAACTCAGAGCTATAAGGAAAATACTCAGTTATATGAACAGTCAAATTGTAGGGCAAAAACAAATTTTGTAGTTTTGATTTTTAACTTTTAAGAAAGATAATTAAAATTATTTTTTATATCATGCTGAATAATACCAGAAAATCATTGACGTTTAGATATTAGCAAATGTCCTTTTGATTGACTTACAGAATGCAGTTGTAAAGCTTATTGAAACATAATCATAATACAAGAATAAAGATTGTTTTTGTTTTTTGAGTAATGGAAGGGAGATACTTTTCAGAAAAAGAAATTATCTGTACCTAGGCAGTGTAGATACTCTTGGCTTAACAGATAAGTCTTCCAGCAAAGATTCCAAACAGGCAAAAATTGAGTACTGTATTTTTACACAAATAACGCTCACCTTCTATGTTTGTTTGCCAACCACGCGTCCCCCTCCCCCAAGTTATTTTCATAAGCGTGCTATGCTAATCATTTTTACAGCAGCATCTACATATTGGAGCCTTGGTGGCACTGTGGTTAAGAGCTTGGCTGCTGACCAACAGGTCAGCAGTTCAAATCCGCCAGCCACTCGTTGGAAACCCTATGGGGCAGTTCTACTCTGTCCAGTAGGGTCGCTATGAGTCGGAATCAACTTGATGGCAGCAAGTTTTATCTACATATATTTGGGAGATTGTCAGATGGGAAAGAGTATATAGCTCCACCATTACCATTTCCTATTGAGTCAAAGACTAAAAATAGGCTATTGAAGAAACTGCTAAATTGTGATATTGGCATGTCTTACCTAAATCAAAGCAACCTACTAATAAATGTACAATTAAGTTTGTGAAATTTCACTGGCATCTTATTGACTGTCGGGGATTCACAAGTGTTAACTCCATGGCCTTAAGTACTTAATTTAAGAAAATAATGAGGAACTCAGAAAGAAGGGAAAGAACTACTCAGACTGAATTTCAAGATAAAAGTATAGCTTTAGAGAGAAATATCAAAATATACTTTAAAGGTTAAAGTGATCTAGCCCTGGTGGCACAGTGGTTAACCAAAAAGGTCGGCAGTTTGAGTCCACCATCGGCTTCTTGGAAACCCTACGGGGCAGTTCTACTCTATCTTATAGGGTCGCTATGAGTCGAAATCGACTCTACAGCAACGGGTTTTTATTTTTAATCAATACTCTGATTGATCTATTGGTTCTGTGGAAGACTAGTCAGCTGGAATGATTGGACTGTGTCTTTCATGATCATTTTTCTAAAATAGGAACTTCTAAAGGAGGGTCTTTATTTTCTGTAAACACTCACTTTTTACATGGTAGCTTTTCACAGAAGAGTTGAATTAGATACCATTAGCCCTCAAAAGGACAAATAAGAACACAAGGTGTTTTTAGGAGCATTACAGTATATATTGTAATAAGTCCTAGTAGTTAAACGAGAATGCCTAGTTGGTGTTTTAAAATGATAAAA